AGTGAGTAATTGCTAGTAATATTAGTTCTTCCTGGCATCCGAAGCACTGATGTAAGTACTTCAGTATTTACATGTGTAATAATAAAATATTGAAGTACTAGAGAATCTAATAATTGAGCTCAGACATGAAATACTGATAAAATAATTTTCTCAGTAATTTATTACTTAGTCTAGTACTTAAATACTGGTAACAATGGGATTTAACTACTGGATTTAACCAATGGAGTAAACACTGATTTACTGATTTCATGTACAAAATCTTATTAAATCATTACCCCTAAAATATATAACTGCATATATAAAATTTCTGATAAGTTATTCGCACGCGCACGTCTATGATTCAATAAAAATATTGATTCGTATGTGATTATATACATAATCAGAATTAAGGATTATACATATATAATTATATTATATGTAATTATACTTAATTATACATATAATATAATTCAGAAAACATCTTGTGTGTGTGTGTGTATTTATTTATTTAAAATATATGACCGCATATATTTAATCATTGTACTCGTATTATATTAGCTCTTTCTGTTTGTGCTCTCTTGAATTTAAACAGTAACAGGAAAGTTAATTATTTCGGACGCTATTCCGTAAATGTAAAAATCAATAAAAACTTTAAATTTAATTATAAATAAAATATAGTTTAACTGGACATATTCCAATTTTGAGACTATTTATTAAACAGATGTACCATTAGTAAATATTAACATTCAGTGTTCATGAATCATCACAAAGCAACGGTTCCCGGACGATCACGGAGGTTAAGCAACTATAAAGCAGGAATGGCTTGGGTAATCGCATAGAAACACCGTGAAATTAGTTTCCAAAAACATTTTTTTAATTATAATTTTGTTTCGTGTATATTCTCTTTCTAATAGAATACGATCCTAATCAATAAAATTTATTTTAGCAATAAAATTAGAAAATTATTTATAATCGTATTAAGAACCAGTAGTTATGTGTAATAAATTGCAGCCAGTAATCCAGTAGTGTACTGTTCTGCAATTCAAAACTACCGGCCAAAATAATACTGGCAGTAATTTACAATAATTTATTACTGAATATCTTTCAGTAGTTTCAGTAATACTTTTCTATAAAAGTCTGTTCTAATAAATTTAAAAATTTTTAATTTTTGAAGATTTAATAATGTTATAATGCAATTAATGAAACATCATATATGTCTGACGGAAAACAGAAATTTATATAATACTATACATATAAGCTAGTTTAGAACGCTTTTCTACGTTGTCCGACTTCTAACTTCTACTTCCTTCTGTCTTCACAATCCTTCGGTTTCAGATTTCGTTCACTCATTGATTTGCATATCGTTTTTTTTTATACTTCAATCGTGGTCTCCCTCTTTTCCGTCGTCCCATTGGCTGATGCCATTCTAAAACGCGTCTTGGTAATCTTGTCTCCGGCATACGCCGTACATGACTAAACCATGTTAATTGTTTCCTCTCGACATCTTTCATTACGTCTCCTTCAATTCTCATTTCTAGTTTAATTATTTTGTTTCTAATCCGATCTGTCCTCGATATACCCAGAGATCTTCTCATTGCATCCATAATTTCTATTGCTTCTATTTTCGCTTTATATTTTTCTGTGATTCTCCATGTCTCGGACCCATACAATAAAGTGCTCTTCACCATAGTCTCGTATATACATTTTGTAACATTGTTATCATTGTACAACTCTTTTTAATATATAAAGTATAAACGTATATGGTAACATACATATGTCTTTATCCCATTATATGTATATATAGTAAATAGTTTTATCATAACTTTCTATTAATTGCAACACATGATATAGAATCTTTTCATTATACAGCAAAACTTTCTTATCTTAATATTAAGTAATTTATCTATTGCATTTTATTCTTATAAAATTACGCGTATGCGTTTAATGCTCAAATACAAATTGCTTAAAAATACAAAATCTGGACAACTAAAAATTTTTTAGGGAAATATTTATAACGACATTCAAATAATATTTATCTAATTGTAAAAAGAAAATTAACAAAATAAATATTATGTATTTATCTATCATGACTTTATAATTCGCATAAATTCATAGTTTCTACACAGTTATATACACGTTATATTCTCTCTCTCTCTCTCTCTCTTTCCCCCCCTCTCATCCTCCCTCTCTAGCTCGCTCTCTCTCTCTCTCTCTCTCTAGA